TAATCACTGGTGATTACCCAAAATTTAATATAAGTTCTTCCCGTAAAATTTCTAACTATATTAGCTCTATCACCAAGGATGATTCAGTTGTTATTCTAAAGAATCCTCCTCTTGTTATGACATTGGTAAAGTTAAATGATATTTGGTATGATAATAATGCTTGCAAATTTTAAGAGTTAGACAAGTTATCATTAAGAACCAAGAGAGCTGTAGGACTTGTTATTGTAGAAATTGTTTCTCTTATCCCTATGATTGCTTCCGTCCCTACTGCTGTAGCTTTAACACAAGAAGTCCACATGGCTAAGTTTTTAACTGGGTTAGTGCATATTGTGACAAAAAATTTAAAGCAAAAGAATGTATACTCAATCATGGCCTAAAAGTTAAGGGGACTTGGTCAAAGACCAGTCACTCCTTTTGGAGGCCCTTAATAGGCTTTCTTTTGCTTATTTCTTTTGGCCCCTGGACAATTCAGAGGCTTACATGCTTTATCAAGCAGCAGGTCAAATCCATAGCCTCCCGTCCCATACAAGTCCATTATCAAAGACTACAAATGGCCGATAAAGAAAATCCTTGATGATACAGGCTAATAAACCGGGCAGCCAAAGACAGGTAAGAGACACCGGCCCGTTTCAACCTAAGACAGGTGCCCCGCCATAGCAACTGGGTTAGTCTATGATGGGTAGGATCAGTAGGTGCGGTGTCCAACCTAAGACAGGCGCCAGTTTCATACATGGTCAAACAGGAGAGCACCAAAGGTAATCCTGTTGCACTTCTGCAGTCTTCAAATAATTATTTAAACAGGGAGGATCTGCTGGGAGCCAAGCCGCTTGTTCTACCTAGATGAAGCCATTTTGTAATTCTCTAAAAACACCTTTGGATATATTGCCCCTCCCTGGGAGGATAGGTTTCGGCTTACCCAACCCTGGGAGGATAGGTTTCAGTTTACTGGGACCGCCCTGCTAAGTTTCTGTTTACCAGATAACTTTCAGCTTACTGGAAAAGACATGTTATTCTCCCCTACTGGGTATTTCTCCTGCCCCCATTGTGTTCCTTTATATAAACTGTGAATGCTTTCAATAAAATGAAGACTTGATCGGAGATTCTCAACTTGTCTTCCTGCTTTGTGCCTCCTGCCCGCCCCCCCCCCACCAATTCTCTTTCTTCCCCTCCTAGGGTCACCGTTGAAGATCCCCGCGGGCCGGGGCAGGACTCTCTCCTTTCTTCTTCTGTGTTGTTGAGGGCAACCCATTCCTGTCTTCACTATGTTTTCTCAAAAGACTTTCAGAATCAAGAGATCCTTGGCCAAGAAACAGAAGTAGAATTGTCCTATATCCCAATGGATTAAAACTATTAATACAATCAAGTAAAACGTCACAGGGAGACACTGCAGAAGAAACAAGTTGGGTCTCAAAAGGGGCACACATACCTTAAGTTTATTAGCAACACACCCTTATCACATTGCCTTACATTGCATCAAGTAATGTAATTGAGTCAATTACAACTCATAGTGACCATGTGAACAGATCTGAACTTTAATTCTATGCCATCCTCACCATCTTAGACATGCTCAAGTCCATTGTTACAGTCACTGTGTCAATTCATCTTACTGAATCTTTCTCTGATCATCCACCATTTCCAATGTGATGGATTTTTTTTTAACAACTGGTTCCTCCTGACAACATACCCAAAATACATGCGACAAAGTTTCACAACCCTTGTCCCTAAGGAGCACCCTGGTAACATAAAAAATTAAGAGGGCAAGCCATTAAGACTTCACATATTAAAAATAAGAGAGACTTAACATGTAGTTTTTTTAAAAAATAAATGTTTATTTTATGTAAGAAAAGTAATATTTAAACATTATCCAAAGCTTGTATTCAGTTTAGCAAGTACAAAACAAGACTTCGGAGAAAAAGTTCACAATCAGGTACAAAATATTTGAGAATATACTTTTACATTCAGTGGATTTTTAAAAATAAGTTTTGCTAATGTAGCTTAAAACAAAATATATCCATAGCGCCAGTTAAACAGTCCTTATTGAGGAATTTCTCTCCTTGGACAGATAGGTGTCATTTTAAAGTAAGAATTTCCTTTAAAACAATGGTAAACTTAGTTCAACAATGTACTTATTCAAATGCCTTAACATTTCCTGGACAAATAACATTTTTATGCTTACTCTTCAATGAGCTTTTAAAATCATTTTAGTGAAGAAATTTCAATGAAGCACATGATGGTACCACCCAGTATCTGATACAAAAGCATTCCCTGTGGTCATTGCAAAATCACATCATATTATAAGGCTTCTGCTTCTCCATGTATATCTTTTTGTAGGTTTGAAACATTGTTTTTGAACTTTTTACTGGGTTTTGTGATGTCTCAAGTCCTTCTGCACTGAGGCTTCTCTTCGGCAGTTTTGATTTAGGCAAAATATTGTTATCTAAGGACACATATACACACAAAAAAATTTAAGTAACTCAATGTTAAGTGTGACACTACACAATCAAATGGGAAAATATGCATTCATTAGTACCTAAAGTTTATTTATAATAGAAAACTAGAAGAAGGCCCAAAAAGTTTGACAAATTTCACATCCTCTTCACTTACCAACTACCTTAGCTATCCTACTTCTCACTTTCAACAACTATAGTAAAACATAAGAGCATTCCCCAAAACCAACACGACTATTTTGTGCATAAAAGACAAACTGAACACTGAGCTGAGAGTAATGCTGGCTGTGATGGTTATGTGTCAATTTGGCTAAGCCATGATTCTCAGTGGAGTGGTCTAACAGTTATTCAAGGTGTTTTGTGGCAAGCATTTTCAAGATCCTTATCTATTTTATGATCTAATGGAGTTATCCTCCATTTTCACATATGGCTGACCTTTTCTATTGACCTGGTCTTTGTAATCTAATTATGTTGATAAGTGAACAATAGGTTCAATCACTTTCTGTGGAATTGTACATTATTTTTCCTATGGAAACTCCCCCCCCTCCCCCCCCATCTTCAACATCACTGCTTAAGGGTTTACTCTTACTCAATATATTCTCATACATCACTTGGAGGCTTTCTCATGACCAGCATCCTTTTAACTACCAAACAATGTACAAGTGCCAATACTCTTTTATTCAAGTTTCAAATTTTTTGAAATGGTTCATTGATGATCATCCATGAATTTTTAAATTTGAGTGATCCAGAATAAGTAGGATGAGTCAGTATACAGGTCAAAGCCTGGAATGAAATTAAGAGGTGCAATAAGCCCTTCCAGGAGTCAATGGCTTATATGACTGTGGAGAGTAACATCAACACAGGGACAGCTATCATCTCTAAACCAAGAACCCTCAAGAGTTTTGAGTGTTTTGCAATGAGCAAGCAGCTCTTGTTTTCTAAGAGGGATATTAAATTTCTAGCAAAGTCTTTTCCTATGATTTTTCTCTTTCTGGCAAGAATCTCAGCTCATCAACCTGTTTAGGAAACTGGGCCTGCTGTGGTGTCACTTGTGGGACATGATTAAACTAATTAAAAGCCTTGATTCAAATATTTTTATAGCTCTACTGCTCTGAGGTACTTCTGCAGTTCTCTTTATACCATTTCAGTGCTGTGCTATCACCATTATCTTTGTTTTGATGGAATGTAGCCTTCACTACTTCTGTAAATTTCTAGATCTTGCTCAAGTTCAGTCAAATATTGTCTTGTTATGCCAGTAACTTCTCTATTTCAAGTTTCTCCTTTCTCCTCACACTCCTCTCTTAACAACTTTTCTGGTGTATTGACAGATGCCCAAGCTGGGTATCCCAGTTGATTTCTATTGGATCTGCCATATCTCGCAGTCTTCTCAATCTACAACTAATTACTTTTCAATCTGTACTATACACATTTCAAATTTCCTAACAGGTTGAGATGCAGGCCTATTTTAAGGAATTTGGTATAGCTTTTTTGAAAAATGGCTTTTTCACTTTCAATTGGTTCACTGCACTCTTTGCCAAAGATACTTTCTTCAGGGCCAGTACCATTTGCCTTTTTAATGGTCATGTGGCACAATCTTCATTTTCTTCCCTTAATAAATTAAGTCATGTATGAATTGTTTTACTCAATAAATCATTATACAACTCTATAGAGATAAGACTTTCTTCAGTTTGCTTTCCTCTTAATTTTGCTTCAGATTTTATTTGTGCACCGTATCCTGGTGTTTTATTTCATCTTAATTCTGCATAGTGATCCTACCATAACTGCACTGCTGTCCCAGCTGGGACCTATCTGACCATGAGCCATTCTTTCTCTCTGAGGTTATATTTATGTCTGTGATTTTCAAAGCCATTTCTTACTCCACTCTCTAGGGCCAATTCCTCATTTTACTATCCTGTGTTTTAACCCTACATGTTCTTTCCTGTTCTGAGTATCTTTCTTTGCTAGCTCTTGGCTTCTTCCTACATACACGACTCAATTTCTACACAACTGCTTTATGTTTCCTTCCAACTCATAATACAAAAGATGCTGTTTACTGCAGCTTTTGGGGAAAATGTTTTGTAGTCATTTTAAAATGACTTTAAACTTCCATATTTTTATTAACCAACAAAACCCCCAAACTTCTCATTTCTACTTTGCAATAGAAAACAAAAACCAAAGTACATTGATTCTACTAATTTGACATTGAAATATCATTTTTCTGGTTGACTTTTACCTCAAAAACCCTCTGGACAAAGAATGAGCAAAGATCATTTGTCTTTCACAATTATTAAAATATCTCTGAAATACTACACTTAACAGACTTTAGAGAAACTAGGCGAAACCCTTACTGTTGCTTAAGGAGCTCTGGTGGCTAGTCCATAATGCATTGTGCTGTTAACCAAATATTTACTGTTAACAATTTTGACTTTAATCAAATTATCTACTCTTTTGCCTTTAAAATGGATTCTTGCTTTGAGATTTACACTACTGTTTTGAGGTTTTTACTACTGTGTAAACTACCAAACCCATAGTTAGTAACTTTATAACCTAGAGGTCACATACAGCCTGCTGCTTTTGTAAAGAAAATGTTACTGACACTGTCATGCTCATTTATTTATTTATCATTTAGAACTACCTGCCCACTAAGTCTGAGTTCAATAGTCCTGGTAGAGACCCCACAAATGGAAAACCTAAAATTTTACTCTCTGCTCCTTTACAGAAAAAGTTAGCCAATGCCAATCTTGTATTTAATTCATTATTTGGAAGATTTTTCTATTGAAAATAAATAAATCAAAGCTTCCCTATTATAGACGTTAGAGCAAAGGGCATGTCCTCACCACCCATATAAATACAGAATGAAAAAGAGATTAAGAATATTTCATAATAAGTTATAACCCACTTTACAGGCAAGCATAAGGGCAGTATTAAAAACAAAACAAAACACAACAACAAACCTTTAAATAAATTATGAATTTACCTATTTTTTGGTGGCTGGCTTCCCGCATCCTTTTCTCCGTATTAACACATTTTAGCCATGCTTCTTTTGTACTTTTTATTCCTGAAACTAAACATTAATTTTCAGATCTCAGGATGTTACTTAATTCTTTTTAATACAATGAAGGAATTATGTCTAAATGTTATATAACCCTAAAAAGGACCTGGAAAATTATTTACCTTTCCTGGAGTCCTTTTAACTCTCTTGACTAAAATACTGTTTTAAAAGTTCACTTTCAACATATAATCAAGATATTTTTGGAAACAGAAAATTTAAAAAAAAAAAAAAACCACTACTCCATTCACATCAGTGTTTTCCTTGCATTGAAATTTTAATGATTCAGTTGAAACACACAAACACAAAACAAGCCTACAGAAATCTCTCTTTAGAATAAAACACTAAATTTCCTTTTAAGTTGTAGGTTTATGTAACTCAATGGTTGGTCTGAAAGGTATTAGTTAGGCTAAAATTTCCACTCAAACCTTCAATTTTCCAGTCTGAATTTCTAAGGATTCCCGCCCCCCCCCCATTCAGTATCCACTATCTAAACGTTTCCTTACCACCACAAATAAAGCTCTGCTTTTCTCTCATACTGCGTAACAGTTTGAGATTATGATGTGAGCTAAGACTCATGTTTGCTACTCTGGCTTTAGATACATAACTCAACTATGGGACAGTACCTTCCCCAGAACAAAACATTTCAAAAGCAGAGATGACCACTTAAAATTAGCTACCATTTTACTTCAGTGGTAATATAATGGATCAATAAATATTTATACATGAAGCAAAATTACAAATTCATGGGACTTTAAAATGAAACAGTCCAGAAGAGAATAAAAGTTAAACTCTTAGAAAGCTGTATATTGATCAATACATTTCTAACTAATAAAAATGTTTTATACAATAGTTATGACCTAGCTGTATTTAGCAAATCATACAGGATTATATACCTCTTGTCATTACTAATTTACTACAATTGCAGTAACTGTGCTAAATGAAGCATCATTGCACTGAAAATAAAGTAATAAAACACATTATCTTTCAGTTACCCAATTGAGAGACACTTACTCATTCTATAAACTACAGGTAACTGTTTACAATTTTGTATATACCATCAAGAAAATGATACCGGACCTTGAATAGGTGCTTGTTCTTTCTTAGGTATAGGCTTCTGCTTCCATTGGTCTGAGGGTGGATTGTCAAACAGTACATCTGGACATAACTTAAACTTCAGCAATGATTTTTCTGTGGTGTCTTTCAAAGAAATTGAGTTTTTAGGTTTATTTTCTTGGCTCTTCTGTGTATCATTAGTAGACTTCCTGGATGAACTGTTTAATTTTGAGAGGCAAATGCTTTCATGTTCAGTGCATTTAAATCCAACTCTGTTCAGATACAGTTTCCTTTGATCCTCTGCTTGGGGATCAATCTGAATGACTGCACCTTCGTTGTTTAAATTGGTTAAGTGCTTGTCTGATTTGGTTTTATCCATCAACATTTTATCAGGTGGCTTTCCACCACCATTTCCTTTAACATTTTTTGAACTCTTGTGTATTTTTGAATTCTCAGGATGGTAGATTTTGAGGGGTTTATCACGACCTGTTGAAGTATTTAATAGTTCTTTAGAAGTTTGAATACTACTGTTTTTCTCTTTGGATTTCCCACAATTCTCCACTTGCATGGAATGTTTAACAGGCCTTGCACATTCAGAATCACATGGTATACTTTTCATTTTATCAATTACACTGCTTTTCTTTGATGCTTTACATATTGATTCTTTATTATTCTGCAAATAGTCCTTTGATGATAAAACTTTATTGCTAGTTTTGTGTGAATTATCCTTTAAGTCTGAAGACTTACTAATATGTGAACTTGAAGATTTCACTAAGCTTTTGTGGCTATTGATTTCCAGGTTTGTGGATTCTTCTACGACTGATGCCGTCTTTTCTTTAACACTGGTTCTCTCCTTAGACAAGGAATTACTTAACTTTAATGAATTCCCTGCATTTTTATTTTGCTCATGTTTATCATATTTCTTCTTTCTCTCCATGTCAAATGTCTTTCCTAGATCTGACTTCCTATTTTCCAAAAGTTTATATTTGGAACCACCTGCCTTGAATTTTAATTTCCTCTTTCAGTCCACAATCATTAATCATATACCATAAACCAAGATTAAGACTGTAAGATAAGTAATTGAATTTTAATTTCCTCTTTTCAGGTGACATTGATTGTATTTTACTTTTATTTGCCATAATAACAGGCTTTGGTGTTAGAGGGCATGTGTTTTGTGCCATGTCTTTTTTCTCTTGAGAATCTTGCTCACATTTCATCAATTTACCACTGGGCTGAAACATTACATCATGAAATACAAGTTTTCGCTTTCTTTCGTGACTCGACAGAGAATCTAGTTTTTCATTACACTGAGATGAAAATTGAGGTAGTTCTTCTTGTGTCTTTAGTAAGTTCTTTTGTTTTGTTTTGCATTGATCTTTTGTATTTCTGTCTTGTTTTATTTCAGAACAATTTTTCCTATCTGGAAGAGAAGTTTCCAGATCCTTCTTTGGAAAACTAATACATTCAACAACAGGGGTGTTTCCATCAGAAATTATCTCTTGTTTGTAACTGTTGCTCTTCAAAGGAGAACGCTGGTTTTCTTCTTCTGAAACCACATTCTTATTGGAATTACACTGACATTGGGGAACTCCTTCATATATCTGAGCTAGCCAACCCAATGCACAGCAATGGATATCATCTTTCTGCATGTTCGAGGATACAGAACTATGACTTCTTTTTTCTTCTACACATGTTTTTGTATCACACTGGCTCTCTACTTTTGTGATGGAGTTTTCCATCTGAGGTTCTGTTAACCTGTCTCTGTCACTGAGCTGATTATCCTGCTCAGGAAATAGTTCTTTCATTTGTTCTGAGCTTATTATTGTAATTTTTATTTCATCTGTTGAGACCCTAGAGTCACAATCAGGTTTATGACAATTTTGATCTTTCGGTTCTTTCTCTATTATCTGTGGGGCCAAAGAACCTTTCTTTGAGCTAAGCACATCAATGCCATAGGGAAATTCTTTTAAAAGTTCCGACAGCTGATCTTGTAGATATAAGTCATCTGTCTTCTCACCGAGAATCTCACTGCTTAAAGCATCTTGGGAAGTGTAACTGCAGGGTATATCGTTCTCTAGACCTGTTTGTTGAATGACAGCTGAAGGATGCGTAACACTGCTTATGTTTTCTTTCTCAATGATACACTCCATTTTGCTTTCCTCTAGAATTTCTGTCTTTGCTTCAGTGTATGATGATTCTGAAGATGGCAATGGCTCTGACTGATCATTTATCTTAAGGGAAACATTTGTGTCCTGTACAATATCTTTTTGAAATTCAAAGTTCTTATTTTCTGTTTTATCTAATTCTTCATTCTGTTGTCTACAACTCTTCACTTGATCAGACAGACAAGATTTCTGTGGCTCAACCTTATTGAAACAGGGAGAGTTGAAAATCTTTGCTATATGTGAATTATAAGAAACATCACCTTCAACAAGAGAACAGATATTAGCAATCTGTAAAACATCATTCACACCAATATTGTCCTTTGGTTCATCCATGGCTGGCTCAGCACTTACATGTGGGCTGATGGCTTCATTTGGGGCAATGTGGACCTCTAATTTTGATTTGATAGGCATTCTTTGATTGTCATTAGGTATCTGCCCCGAACTACAATTAGTTGACTTGTCATGCTTTTCCTTTTGAATTACTGGAGTTATCTTTGTTGATAGTGTAGTATTAGATACTAATTCATTATCATGAGCTTTCAAAGCAGCAGCTACACTAATATTTTCCATCAGATGATTCTGTAAGCTGCAAACACTACCCTCTTCAATAACTGGGTATGCTGTTTCAGTTAAGGCTATAGGTGTCATTTCTTTGGCAGACAGTGTTCTGACATCTGAAAGGATTAGAGGTGACACCACAGCAATTTGTAGTTCAGATCCCTTTGTTATATTTGAACCTGCAGACTCATAATTCTGCACCACCACTGGCAAAGTTGCTTCCTGTTCTGTATTATTTAACTTTCTATTCTTAGAATTTCCCACAATTGTACAAGCAATCTTATCATTGACTTCTACAGGTTTTGAAACATCAGCTACTGTTACGTTTGTTCTTAATTCATTACATTGTTTTTCTGTTGGATCTGAAGGTTGCTTTTTCCACAGAGAAAGACATGTTTTCAGCACTTCTTCACTTTTGCAAGACATCTCATTGGCAGAGGATCTATGATCAAGACAAAAGGACTTGTCTGTAACCATGGCATTTACATGAGGAGCACTCTGAGTTTCCAAGGTTTTAAAATTTGTTGGTTCATTAGTGAACTGGATATGCTGATTAATTCTAAAATTGTTTGATTTGGGATCTTGAATAATTTCACTTCCATTTTTAACTGGGTCATCCTTAGCTTGATCCTTAGGTGTAAGAAACTGGAGTAAAGTGTTTTTATTTGGAGGTTCTGAAAAAAGTTCCTGATAAAACACTGACTGCAGAGTGGTAATGGTTTTAGACTTTGATGGCAAATTTTGACAGTTTCTGACATTTTCTGATGAAGTCTGTGTGTTATTATTTAACGTCTGGGTAATTTCAACAGGGGATGTCTTTAAAGATGGCTGAAAATCATGACACTGGTCTACCCTTAAGACCTTTTGTGAACAGTTGGAATTTGGTGAATTAGAATTGTCCTGTGTTAACTTTCTGCAGTTAACTTCCTGAATGTTGGGATTCCATTGACTTGTTTCTTCTGTACATCTCATTACAGTAGCTGAATGACCCTCTGAAAACTCGGAATTTACCGGGGTTATCTGTAGCCCTGAATGGAGTTTGGAAATGTGTTTTGATGATGATTCAGAATTCTGAGTTGATTCACGAAGAGAGGCATTAGTAGCTTTACTACAACCAGCTGCCATCAAGAGTTTTTTATTTATTTTAATTTTCCTTGCAAGTTCAAAAAACTTCTTTTTCATCTCCACTAATTTTTGAATATCACTTGCTAACCCTTCTTTTGTGACATTTGTATCCTGAAGCTGGTTGGAGGTCGAACTGCAAGAATCCATTGTTTTACCTTGACTATCTTGAACTAAAATCTGGACACCATCTGCACATCGAACTGGCTTATTATTAACAGGCTGATTAACTGTCAAATTATAAAAACTTTCATTTGTGCTGACTTTCCCATTTACTTTATAATTGACTTCTTTATCACGGTTCTGGCATGGTTGTTGAATGCCTCTACAAAGTTCTTTCATTATTTCAGATATGTGTGCCTTTTGAGTCAGAGGAACATGTGGAGTACTCTGTGAAGGTTGGTTAGCATAGCGACACTCATAAGGAGGAGGAGGTGGCGGCGGAGGCAGAGGCGGAGGTATATTATCAGACTGAGGAACTGCATACGGAGGTGACTGCACAGATGCATTCTGCTGTGAATGAGAAAACAGTGCATGATGTGGATGTGAACTATTTTTAACATCTAACAATTTAGACAGCATAGGGTTTTGTCTCTGAAATGTAGGATCTTGCAAAAAGCTTTGCTGTGAATAATAGTATTGCTTTGGAAGTGACCTAGAGTCAGGAAATGTCAATCCACTAGACGAGTGCTGTTGTGCCCAGTCAATTTGTCGCTCTTGACAAGACTGATTAAGTCCTTGATTTCCTTGAGACATTACAGGACCTTGTGTAGGATTAGAAGGGATCATTTGTAGCTGCACAGCATAGGAATCTGAGGTTACAAATTGATTCTGCAATACATGAGTATTGGATGTATTCATTCCAAAACCAACTTGATTAGATACAACAGTTGCCCTTGTATGAGAAAGCACAGGATTTCTTACTGTTGAGTTCAACCATTTATTTTGTGTAACTCCTGAAGACATTTGCAAACTGTGATTTAGTTGCTTGGGTCCTTGAACATTTGCATATGGTTTTCTTTCTACTGAAGCTTGTAGGGGTGCACTTGTCCCATTAGGCATAACAGAAACAGAAGTTTGTTGAGGAATTGCATAATTCTTTATCATGAGCAGTGGCTGTGAAACTGGACAGGGATACATGCATGCTTCTTGTTTACTTCCAGGAAAGTTCAAAGAACTTTGAGATGCTGAAGCAAGTGGGTTTATTAAAGGCTGTTGCAGAAAAGATGACTGACTTTTAGCATACAATGGTGGCACTGTAGTACTCTCTGAATTTACATTCCAATTCATTGTTGATTTGATGCAGTAGCAATATATTCAATATTGCTTGATCGGAAGGAACATCAATAACCTGTAAGAATGAAGCATTTTTTTAATTAAAAAGTTGCTCATCCAGATAAACTTTTTAAGAAAATTAATTAACTGTACATTGATCTTAATTTTGGGAAAGAGAACACCAAAGATGCAATAATAGAGTAACTATCAATAAAATTCCTGGAGTGATTAGTAGGAATTAATTTTAAACAATAGTTAGGTAATTAGGTAACTATTTTTTTTAAATAAAACTTTTTATACTGGTTTACTTACAAAGTGTGTAGACATTATTTTTCAACAGTTAATAATTTTTTATATCTAAGTAACAAGTACTTTTTGCTTTTCTGTATTTCACCTAGTTCTTATGACAACTAAATCATATATATATACATATCTTTTTAAAAAGTTAAAAATACTATCAATGGGAGTATAGTAAAGCCTTCATTTTCTATCCCTGATAACTAAACTAACTCCATGAAGGTATTCTGAACATGTATTCTCAACATGTCTACATATAAGAAAATGTACAATCATACACAAAACCTTACTTTAAAATAAACACACTACTAAACACACTGCCTACAATTTGCTTTTTATAAAATTCAGATAGGGAGGTGCATTGCAAACCAAAGGCAAACAATTTGAATCTATCAGATGCTCCTTGGGAGAAAGACAATCATTTCCTGTGTGATTTAAAGCCTCTGAAAACCCATCTGATGGTCAGCTATGAGTCTATTTCCATTTGATGGCACAAAATAACCACATCACAATAATAACTCCAATAGGGGGCCCTAGAGCAGTATGTTCTGTATCAGGCTGCTAATTAAAAGGATGGTTTAAAGCTACCTGCAGGGTTAGCTTTGAGTCAGTTTCAACTAGTTGGCAAAGTGACAAAAATTTAAAAAGACAAGGATGCCACTCTCATGTCTTTTCTAATTCATAATTGTTCTGAAGCAGTAGCAGAGACAGGTGAAGAGAAACATCATACCAATGAGAAACAGAGGCTGAAAAGACACAAAGATTATCTTCCAGAACGAACAGTATGTGCCATGCCTTCTGAGCTGGTGGCTTCATATACTTGGATTTCAAATAGGGAATTAAGCTTCTAACTCAAAGGTTGCGTGCATCTCCGGCAGTTCACAACACTAGTGGCTCCATGGGAGAAAGAGGGACGGACCATCTCCTCCCGTGAGATTTACAGCCTCAAAAAACTCACCAGAGGGTCAGTTATGAGCAGGTTCCTACTTGTGAGGGCAATGAGGGATAATACAGTGAGAAAATACACTTCTATGTCACCCAATTGTTGGCATTTCTGTTATAGCAGCAAAGCATAACTAATAAGAAACAGCTTGAGTAAATGGAAAGACATTTCATCTTTATTAAGATTGGAAGGCTTTGTACATAGTTGTGAATATATTGACCGAAAGCAATCTAAAAATACAGTCTCTTCATCAAAATTCTAATAGCCTTCTTTTTAGAAATGGTAAATGAAATTTTCAAGTTTATGTATAGGCAAGGAACTCCAAAAAGCTAAAGCAATCTTAACAACAATAAATAAAGCAGGGAGACTCAAAATATTCTATTTTAAAACATATTAGCATTCTCAAGCAAATATTAAAAATATCAACAAGAGCAACACACACAAAAAAACTCCAAAACCCAATTCAACCCATTGCTGTCAAATTTGTAATTCATAGTGCCCAGTAGGACCAGAACTGGCTGTTAATTAATCCCTGTGAAAACAGGTGCCTCGGGTTTCCCACACAGTGGCCAATGGTTTTTTGGTTAGCAGTCAAATGCGTTAACCAGCCAAAACCTCAAAATGATTACCAGTTACCAGTGGGAGAAAAAAAAGAGCACTGAGTCTGTGTGGATGGTAGTGGAATAATTTGGGAAAGCTGGTGATAATCGCTGCAGAATTATGGAAATATGTAGAAATATATTTGGTTGAGGTTTTGTTGCATATGTTTCACTATAAAAAGAGAAAACATGATTTATTTGAAAAATATCATTTTTTGCACTTTCTTAGGTATCTTATAACTAAGTTTTAAAAAAACTTAGCTTCTAATACTCTTATCACCATTCTCATTTTGACTTGAATCAGGTCTTTCACAATAGTTATTGTGTAGTCCATGAAGCTGAAAGTACAAGAGGCCACAGTATACCTACTATATGGAAGGAAAAGGTCCAAGAATGTGTGTGCTTTTTTAGACTATATAAAAGGCTATAGGAAAAAAGGTGTGTATATAAAGTGCCTTAATAAAATATTATGCAGAATTAACTAAGGAGCAGGCAGCGTTACTGAAGAGTGTTAATGAAACTGATAAACCACCTCTAACTTAAATGAACTTGGGAGTGGGGCTTATAGGTAGGAAGATTTTGTATTTTTATGTTATTTTTCTTTTCCCCTTCTCTGCAGTCAAAGAACAATGAAGTCCGGGAAAACATTCTAAACTAAATTAGGAGGTTACTAAGCTAATGCCTGGTGACATAAATTCAGGTTTTTGTAAAAAGTAGATAATAATAAATGTCTATAATGCTTTTGTGAAGAATTCTTAAGATTCTACGATTACTTTGTAATACTTCATATTACAAAATATTACAATGGAGATTTTAGGGTTTCTATGACCTAGCATAATGTCATTGTCATTTCCCCTCCTTATTCTTAACCTCTGCACTTAGGTCTCCACATAAAACACCACTGCCCTACCATGTAGCTGAACAATAGTCTCCTTCCATGCATGGCAGGTGACATATCCTGAAGGCAGGGAAACAAAAAATATCACGCCCTCTATAAAATAAGTAAATATTAAAATCAAACTCATCGAGTAATTCTGTTTTATGTGTGTAAACTCTTGCTCCCTCCTCCCCTTCATGTTCCATTCATTAAGATCTTTTTTCCTTCTCTAATTCCAGCCATTCAAATCCATCCATATAATCCACCTACTAGAGTGTTTTTATTTCAAAGAGAGGGAATAGACAGTCATCTGTCATTCTTCCATCACCTAAAAGATAAAACCTCAAATCCTTGCATATTAAGAGTTAATCTTTCTCCTATCAAATCTTAAGATTTTTAACACCATTCCCCCTTATTTTTACGCCTGTTATCTAATGGTCTCAACCAAACTGAATCTCTTTCTCTTGGTTGTACTTATATGCCATGCCTTGATTGTCTTGCAATAAACAAAAGCAGTTCGTCCATGTCAATCCTGAATCTCTCTCTCCATTTGAAGGTAAAATTCTACTTGGAGGAAGTCCTGTACTCAAGTAGAGAACACATCATATAATCTTGCTGGGTCTGATTACTTTTCCTTTCTCTATCCCCAGAGCAGTCATAATTCACCTAGCCACAGAAATCTCTTCATAGTAAATCAGTCTATACTGCTAGAATTGCCTATTATCCTAATCACTTGGTTTTAGAAATAGAAACAACACTGTGGAAGGCAGTATAGCACTTTCTCAAAAAGTTGCAAATAGAGATACCGTTTGACCCAGCAATTCCTCTACTGGGTACATACCCCAAAGAGACCATAATTGACATCCAAGCAGATATATGCACACCCATGTTTATTACAGCTTTGTTCAAAACAGCAAGGAGTTGGAAACAATCTAAGTGCACATCAACAAACGAATGGCTAGAGAAGCTGTGGTATATTCCACAATGGAATACTATGCTGCATTGAAAAACAAGGAACTCATGCAATATTATTCAAAATGGGTGACTCTGAAGGACATTATGCTGAGTGAAGTATCCCAGTCACAAAAGAACAAATATTGCATTGTGCCACTGTTGTAAAACAGGACTGACCTTGGGGTTAGGGAGAGACTGAGAAAGATTGGTTCAATAATGTATACTGCACTGAAACATGAGGGAGAAAACTGTTTAAAAGGGATGTGTGATTGGGTATTTTTGTCCTGACAGGAGTAGAGAGCAAAGGCTACATGGTAGAGTGGACCTGGGGGAGGGTTTGTAATATAGTGAAGGAATTTTTCTTTTACTTTTCAGAGAGAGTAGTTTTCTGGGGGGGAGGTTTGGAAGGGGAGAAATGTGCAACAATGAATGAATGGAAATCCAATGTCTCTGTAAATTTTTACTGAAATAAATTTAAATTAAAAAAATTAAGTTAGAGTAAGGAAGGTAATGGATTTATAACTGCTCATGCTAATAACACTATATCATGGCATGGAGGAGGAATAGTGAAACTGTAGCCACATTTACAATATTCTTCTTAACAAAACCATTTATGGAAAATAGGAACTGCATTGGAACATGCATTTTTGGATTGGAAATGATCATATTGTTAATATTTCTAGCCTTAAATTTAAAAGATTATATTGTTCAAAATTATTTGTTATATATTTGTTTAAATTTTTGCCTCTTTTAACAACTGGGATCTAGAGTGAAGAGAAAAGACCAGAGAACGGCCAAAATTATTGGGGCAGCTATTGCTGCCAGTTTAGGGCCTGTGTCAGGAAAAGGAAGTCTTACTCATAAACAATGTCACCCAAAGGTCATAAGGTCATAAAGGAGGTCAGAATTGCTTTCACTGTGGAAAGCTGGGCCACTTCAGTAGACATTGTCACAGACGAGAGCCACAGATAGCAAGGGAGTAAAGAGGAAGCTGCACTCACTTGTTTTAAGTGTGGATCTGAAGGACACTTGGCCAAGGGTAGCCCACATCAGGTCCTCGTGGCTGAGAGGACTGACAGTCCCCAGCTCCCAGCTGGAAACAATGGAGGATGCTTCAACGATTTAGATCCTCCCAGAAGAGCCGTGGGTGAGCATTAACATTTCTGGTAAGTATATTAATTTTCTGCTGGACATAAGAGCCTATTATTTGGTTCTAAAAGCCTTCTGAGGTCCCAGCGCTTCTATTTCTGAGTTGTTGGAATTGACGGAAAACCTCATAAGCAATTCTTTACTTCACCTCTGCCTTGCATGTGGACTTCCAAGCTGTAAAACAACCCAGTGGTAG